CTGGTAACAAGTAATATAAAAAAACGTAAAAAATGTTAAACAGTACTACTTAATTCGCGGGCACATACAGCTGTATTGGAAATTTCCACAAAAATATTGAAGAAATTGCTCTTCTAAAAAATTGTTTTACTGTCTGTCCACTTCTCCACATTATGGGCAAACATGTAAAAAGTTTTATAGAACATTATAAACTGCTGTTTAAAAAGAATGTGTCGAACGTTGTTTCGCAGAACTTCCCTCGCTCCTGAAGTATAATGAAACATATTCAGCATTTTCGAAAAATTATAAAATTCGATTTTGCGGATTTTATATTTTTTGAGAACCCTATAAGTTGAAATAAACATATGCAAATATGTAATGCTACAGTAAATGTAAAGAAGCATGATACGCGTTTGTTTCAAGTAAGTTTTCACTTTATTAAATTTTCTGTTGACGTCAATCAACATTTTTGTAAGAACACGTATTTCAACTTAGGTTAGTGCAGTAATACTAATAATAACTTATTATATTAGTACACAAGTATGGAGTGATCATATTTTGCACAATTTAGATAGTAGTACAAGGCTTTTATAAATGATTCTAAGGGTGTAGTTGACCATGGATTTCAAAAATCCCGCTTTGCTGAAATTATGCCCGTGATTATTTATGACAGTTCTCACTTGTCACTTGTCAAATTAATGTCTAATGTCATTTGTAACATGTCATTTAACGTCGTCGTTTTTATTATTTTAATGTTTTTCAAGTGCGAATTACAGTAATTCTCGTTGAACCAAGCTCAAAATAACAAAACAGTTTTCAGAACTCTTGGTGGTTACGTATGAAAATTTTGTTTTTGTGCTACGAAGCGAAGACTATGAAAATGGTTTATTCTGTTAAACAAGACACTTTCTTCGTTATGTCTTGTTATCGCGATTTCGTAAACGAAGAGTCTGTGTATTCTGTAACCGCTTGTAAGCAAGAATATCTGGCCAAATACTGTGATTTAATAATCCAAGAAAGATCGTTAAAGGCCCACATTAGAGATGTAATCAACAGATTTGTTCGAACTGCCAGTATCAATAAAGACAAAGCTCGTGGAAGACTTTATCTGATGAGAAAATTGTTGATGACACAGGCCTGCGATGGTTTTCCCCCAACAAAATCAAGTAGTAATTTCGGTAGGTCTTAGATACTCATGTATAAAAAAAAATTGCAAAAATTTCTATCACGTACAGTTTCTGCAAAAAATATTTTTTTCAGTTTTGTTCTTAGTACTATAAAAATTAACTTCTAGATTTTGTGGTAAGAATATATATGGATAATGGTGTTGATATTTCATTTCGTGTTCAGCTTAGTAAGAGTTATTTGTGTCCACTATGCGCTTACTACCCTGAATTTAAACAAAAATTACTAATGTCTTCTCGGAAATGGGTTCATTTTTCAGATAGCTTCTGTTACACTTGTAGAACTTATTTAATCAAAAAACAACATCAAATAATTTCTGAATTTATCGAACAACTATGCGAAAGTTATTTTAAAGTTAATATAAAAAGACCAAGACAAAAAATGGGTGCCTCATAAAATGTGTTCATGCACCTCGCAAATGGTCAAAAGGAAAAAAAAATCTTTAAGTTTGCTGACACCAATGATTTGAATGGAGCCACAAAATCATACAGACGATTGTTACTTTTGCTGTTCAAATATAAAAAGATATAATGCGAAAAATGTAACAGCAATAACATATTTTATCGTGAATATAAGAAAAAACGCTTAAATCATAGCTTTGAAGAAAAAAAAAAAAGAAGCTTCTTGATTTATTTGTTTTTTTAATTTTTGTTTATAACTAATTTAGTTCATTTAATAAATAAACATTCAATTTTATATTCTTTATATTTTATTTTTTCATAAAAATTATCTGAAAAACTATGAATATTTAGGCCTACATAAAAATAAATCTCGATGTGCTACAAAAAAACTAGAGTTATATTTGAATTCGGCATACATAAATATATTAAAAAAAAACAATATTATTTAAAAGGGAAATTAAAAGTTATATTTCGCAGGCCTGTGTGATTTGAGACGACTTGAGCAGAATTGAACAATTGAACAACAGGTCCAAAGTATTGACGAAAGGGTGTTACAGAACATTTTTGAAATTAAAAAGAGAGTGAACATGTGCCTTGAACAAACTGATGAACATTTTCAACATTTACTGTGATGTTTAACCGGAATAAATTTATTTCTTTTTATTGCAATGAATTAGTTTTATTTTTTAAAAACATATGAAGCATTTAGGCAACCAGTTATACACATCTGTGTGATTCATGTGTGATTTTTGTCATGCGTCCTTAAGCACTTAGTACGAATAATACGGTTAAATCTGAGATGCGGCACATTTACATGACCTAGAAACCCTGTATTTTTTCGGCAAAATTATGACATGACGTCATCAATTTTTTGGGGGGGGCATAAAGATATATTTTGATTAAAAATTTACCATGCTTGCAATTGCTTCAAAACGCCTGCAAGATTTCAAGGCATTCGGTTTTGCAATTCTTGTTTTCATCAATAAAATAAATTGAGTCATAATTTTTTTTGCATTACCCTGTATAAGCAAATCGAAAAAATATTAATGCAAATGCAATAATTTCAAAAGTGTGTGGTACACTTTATTGAATGATAAAAAAAAGCAAAATAAGAATGAAAAACGATACTGCAAACAAAACTCAGACGGCCGCTCTTTGTGCAGGCTGCAAGTCATAAATTAGTGAAACGCCCGGAAGTGGCCAATTTTGCATTTTGCACAATTTCGGTCAGTCGAAGACGAAATGGTATTTTTGTAATAACCAAATTAAAAACAAATCAATTTTATTTTCCGTTACGGGGTCCCTTAACTTCGGGGGCCTGATGGTCCAACATCATAAGCATATCTATATAAACCGTGTCTGCACAAGTACAGACATTGTAAAATATATATATTTACAGCACATTATCAGCGGGAATAATGGTGTCTTACTTTATCATTATTTTATTGTTACAAAGACGAGCGTATACATTTTCGAGAAAAGGGGGTGGCTCGTTCTTAATTTGATCAATAATATAATCACTGATTCATTATTTTTTTGAGTCACCCTGTATAAGCAAATCTAAAAAATATGAATGAAATGATAAATTACAAATATAGTCTGATCTTATTTTGCATATTTTCGAAAGGATTTATTCAGCAAAATTTTGAGGTGACGATGACGTGGGGATGAGCAAATACATTTTGATCAAAAATTTACCATTTTTACTTTAAAACATCTCCAAGATTTCAAAGCATTCGATTTTGTAGTTCCTCATTAAATCAATAAAATAAATTCACGCATTCATTAATTTGTTTGAGTCGCCGTGCATATGTAAATCCAAAAAATATGAATGGAGTGATAAATCACAAGTACAGACTCATCATATTTTACACAATTTAGATAGGATTTATTCGGCAAAATTTTGAGCTGACGTCATAAACTTTTTGGAGGGGATAAGTAAGTATATTTTGATTAAAAATGTATCCATAACTGTAAAACATCTGCAAGATTTCAAAGCACTGTTTTGCAGATTCAAAATTAAATTGCAAAATGTTGTTTTATAATTTTGATTTTTTTTTTTATAAATCTGGACGTTTCGGGTAAAAACTCAATACGGAGTTTAGGACTGTTATTTTACACACTTTAAAACCCATTTACTATGTACAATTTTGAAGTGAGGGCATCACATTATTCATGGGGATGATTAGACAAATTTTGGTTACCGTTTTACCAAAGAAGATTAACAAAATTTGAACAAAAAGCGACACTCTTGTCACCTTTGATATATTGCTGGTCAATTTTGGCGACCTTCAGCCATCTGGTTGGGGTGCTTTGACGTGGGAATTATAAAAGTTAGTTTTCGTCAAAGCATGAATGTCGACATTTAAATAATTTGTTTGTCATTTATGTCGGGAAAATTGGTCGCACGCAATTTTGTCGCATTTCCCATTTTCCCATCTCTCGTTTCCTATTTCTCATTTCTCATTCCGAATTATTAGTGTCTCATTCCGAATTTCTCATTTCGCATTATTAGTTAGTAAAATTAAATAATAAAATACGTATGTAACCTCAGCTGTAAACTAACATAACCTCCAGAATCAACGTCACAACCTTGGTCACAACAAAACGTCTTTGTAACTAACAGAACTTGGATTCTTTATGGTTTGAACGGTTAGAATGGTTAGAACGGTGAAAATGTGTATATGAAATAAGTAACGGCACACGTTTGTGTGAAGAAATGCGCTGTACGCCTACAATAAACAAAGATAGAACAGTGTGATGTAGCTTTACTAAACACACTGTCTGTACACTTTGGTGAACCTGCGCCCTGAAAATCGTTTTCTCCACTTGGAGTGACGCTTCTTGTTCAAATTTTGTTAATCTTCTTTGATTTTACCGTCTACATGATATTCCTAATATAAATACAAAATTTGACAACAATCGGCCCAGTACTTTCAGAGATTATCTATGTAATAAAAATCCCGACTGACGGCAGACAGAAAGAGGGAAACGGGAGACCTATTTCTTCGTACAGTAGGCGACATGAAAGGTCGACAAAACGTAAAAGTAGAGAGTCGGTAGACGGACTCGATTACAATACTTCCTTCGCTTGCGCTCGGGAAGTAAAAATGGTACAATTTTGTGATAGGTGCTTTTGGAGTATTTCAACATATTTTCGCATAACCGACCAAAAAAAAAAGAACCAAACACATAATTACAAATAAAAACCAGCACTTGAAAATGTCACAGATTTAATCTATGGTCTACATTATAATCTCCTGATTGTATTAGTTATTTCTCAAAAAATAAAAAAATTATCTTGTGTACATAATAGACTCAGATATGACGATAATAATATAAAATTATCTTAAAATGACTCCAATTTAAAAAACCGTGATAAACAAAATAAATCATATAACTTTGTATGATGAAAATATTAAAACAAATACTTACTCTGATTAACCAAGAGATGAACAGTGTCACTGGCAACATTATTGTTATCATCCGTCACGCTAACTTTAAAAGTGTAACTTCCTTTTGTAAGCCCAGTAACATTAGTCTTGCTTAAACTATTATTAACAAACTGGACAGTTGAAGGTCCATCGACTTGCTCCCATTTAAATGTTATAATCTTGTTATCATCAGAGCTATTGCTAGCATCCAAAACAACCCAAGTCTGTGGCAAGCTAATTGTAATATTACTTCCGGCCTCTGCTACTGGAGGCTTGTTTGTTGGTGGTTTCACAAAAACATGAACCTGTGCAGTACTACTTTGATTAGCACTGTCTGTAACTTTTAATGTAAAGGTGTACATCCCTTCTTCAAGATTTGACAACTGAAGATAAGGTGTCCTTGTATCTTGCATATCGACTGCTTTTTGGGCATCATCAGAGCTCTTTGTCCACTCCCACGTGGTAATCGCATGATCATCAGTGCTAAGATTACCATTTAGAGTGATATTATTATGTGGAAGATAAATTATTTTGTCCTCCCCTAATAAAAAAACAAATAAATATCATGTTTGCTGCAATGCGCAGCAAACGAACCTGCGTTAGCATCTGGAGGATAGTCAGTAATTTTTAAAACAGTCACGTTAGCGGTACCAGAACTAGTAACCTTGTCTGTATCTGTAATAGTCAACTTAAAAGTATAGTTGCCTGGTTTTTTCAAATCATTTAACTGGAGAGTCGAGGCATCTTTCAATTCAGGCTGATAACCTAAAATAAAAAATTAAAAACTGAAAATAACTACTTTCAGTTTTATACCCAAAGGTCCTTGTTGTAGTTCCCAATGCCACGAAACTATTCCATCATCATCTGTGGAAGAAGACGCATCCAAGACAGCTGCAGTATTAGGCAATTTAATAGTCTGATCAGCAGGTATAATCACTACTTGTGGTGGTTTATTGATTCTTGAAGGTGGTAACACTGTCACATTTACGAACGTTTCTCCAAAAGCAAAGGAGTTTGAGACAGTCACTTTAAAAGTGTACAGTCCTTCCACCAACTTTGATAATTGAAGTTGCCCCCCATTCTGATGTTTAACAGCTGTGCTGCCATCTGGCTGCTGCAAGGACGTCCATTCATATTGGTATTTTTCCTCTTCATTAGAATCATCAGGAGCCACACTAGCGATTAAGGTGACTTCATTGTCAGGCAGTTTTACCACCTTATTCTCCGCAGACACAGTTAGATGTTTCCTAGTAACCGGGACTGATTTATTTGTTGCATCCAAGATCCTCTCAGTAAGCATTTCACTACTTGAATGCAAACCAACGTCTTTTAAATCTACTAAAATGCAATCACCAGAGTGATTTCGAATATAGCCTGGTTTGCAAGAACATGTGCCAGCACGAGATTTTGGAAAATTTTGCACACAGACTTCGCCAAGTCCACAACCAGAGTCTGTACCAACCTCACAACCAACATCATAATTATAAGTTGACTCATCCATCATTAAATCCTTGTAGATATCCTGCAACCTTCGACTGTCACTAAGGACATTGTAGACCTCTCGATCCAGATGTTCACTAGAGAAGTCTACAAAAACCCATTCAGTAAAAAATTATCAATCATTTCAAACAACCTTGTGCTAAAACATCCTGCCACCGATCTTCATCTGTTGGTCTCACAAGCACCATCATGATATGGTCTTTAGATTCCGGATTTGGACTTAATACAGGTTTGCAGAGTTCATCACTAGTACAGGTTATATGGTAACACTTAGCATCACTCATAAACACCACATTACACTGTTCTTGTAAGCAACATTTAACAACACATTCTTTTAATTTATTAACTCCTTCAATCTCTTTATAAATTCCTGCAATTGTACACTTATACCATCATATACTAACAAATGAAATATGAAACATACCTGCAGTGAGATTTCCTTGAGGCACGAAGCCCTGAAAAGTTCTTTCATATAACCTAGGGCATATTGTATGGATGTTCTTGGTGTTTGGGTAACAATAATAGTACGGCAAAAGCGCCACAACCAGAGAAATAATGCATACAAGACGTATGTGCTCCATTGCTGCAAGAAAATGTGACTACAATGTTTCCGTTGTTGATAAAAATAACTCTGATAAAAACAGGATACTTACCACTATTCTTATCGCCCACAGCTTACATTTAACCGCCAAATTAATTATGATTGTTCACCTAAAATATTAAAACCCATTGAGCTAATAAAAAAGTTGCGATATTTTAATTAATCTTTAGCTAAATTGACAGTGCAGGTTTTTGACGTTTGACCAGATGACGGTGATGAAACGTCAAATTCCACAGATGTGTATTAAATTAGAGATTAGAGTCTCAGTAACTATCACAAACATGAAGTAACGATTTCAACCATGTCACAAGTAGATAATATTGATAACAGTTAAGTTTTTTCAAAAAGTAATCGACATTAATCCACAAATAAGAGAAAACTCCAATTACAGCGTTCCTCTTTATTATTTAGGTCAATGGTGCGAAGAAAAGGATAGGGTTATACAATGTGTGATATATTAAAAAGAGAAGCTCGATTTGTGAATGTGCATTCAGTACTTATTTACAATTGGTTCCTACGATTGTAAGTAAATCTATAATAAACCTCGAGTCTCGCAATTTTAAACACAAATAACATCAAATTGTTGATATACGAATAAAAAGTGATTTTTTTCAGGAATGATGTTTTGGCCAGATCTCTATAACCCATTTTCACATGGAAGCCTGCCAAAAATTTTCTAAATATTTTTCGAATAAATTACACACTTGAAAAATGTATAGTCAGAGATCTGAAGTGACACCCAGATAAAATAAGGTTGTGCATTCATTTAAAAAATCAAACACTGCCAACCAACTTGGTATCTCGTGTCCCCGTAAATCCTACTTTTTTTACGTCATTTTTTGGCGCTGAAGAGAGATATTTTTAGTTTTACAAACAAAAATACTCATTTATAAAACACAATAAATAAGTGTTTTTAAATACTGGGAATATTTAACGGATTCATTTTTAACGTATCGTTGTCAAAACAATGTTGATAGACATTTAGTTATACTGAGATATTTGGGTTTCCCTATTATGTGTTTTAGGTAGTATCTTTAAATTCCGTCAACACAGGCAGCTTGAACTCTTTATTTCCAACTACTGCAGCTATTAATAAAATTGCTATAGCATTCATAGTAATATTTTTTACTATATTAATGAGTTCAAATCCTACTACTTATTCTACCGCTTCTACAATACACTTTCTTCTGTTTTTATATTTCCAGTACTATTTTTCTTGTATTATACTTATGCACATATTTACATAAGTTGTTATGATCGGCCTTATGTAAAAGAACTTTTTACCAAATATACACAAAAAAATTTTAAATACGCTCGGAAATAACAAGAAAGTGTTAAAACTCAGAAATGCAGTTACGATTTTCCACACAGGTTTTATGTTAATAACAAATTTTTCTTTAAGTTATGGTATTACCTATTAATAATGAATTTAATAACAGATCTCACAATAATATTGTTATGGGGTCCTGTTTCAAAAAGTTTAAATAATCAAGTACAAAGGTTTTCATGATGAAGTAAAGCTATAGGAAAACACCATGTTAAAAAAGAACCAAACGTAAGAATGGAAGACATTATAAATACAAATTAAAGTAGAACGGACACCTAAAAATGTTATATGATCTGGCCAATTTTAGTAGTCGTTATCAGAAACATGACATCACAATCTTTTAAGGGGTAAATTTTGATGTGCAGACCTAATTTATAGTTTTGTAAGTATTAATTTTAAAAATATCACCATTTTGCTTTGAACAAGGCAAATCACAGCTACTGCTTTTTGTTTTTTCTTTCTTCACTTTCAGATCTTATTAGTTTTAAATGTTATTCATTTCTCTTAATAAATAGAATCTGATTCTTACGCCAACAAATATTAATAAAATTTTTGAACAAACTTCACGCTGACGATTCGGCAAACTTTATTAGTGCTTTTATTATCCAAAAAATGTATAACAATAAAAGACAAAAGTATACTGTATCTGTGTATCTGTTTCATTTATAACATCCTTAAAACTCAGAAGCTTAACATCTTGGTCTACTGCGCTCATGGAGGTAGAATGACTACCTGGACACAACTTTTTAAAAAATATAGTAGCTGTAAATATCAGGTGAGTAATATAATTGCATGATCGCAGTTGTCTAAGTTTTAGAAAACGTACATCGAGATATCAGGACTGTAGAACAGATAGGTCGATACATTAGCAATCATTCGTGTATCCCTAGTCGGCGATGCAAATTGCCAATCACATCACCTGGTTTTGGGAACGCTGATTCTATCGACCTATGTTCGTAACCGATAAAATACCAATTGTGCGCAGACTCATTGTTAACTGTCACATCTGTCATTTGGATTTCCGTTGCATGTTTCGTTCAGTCGTTTGTGCTTCGAAGTTTGCATTGCATCACGTCGCTTCGTTATAACTTCATTTTTTGACATATCTTGTGGACATGTTTTAGTGACAAAGTACGATCAACAAGTAACTAGAGGGTTTTTTGGTCGCTCGTCAATGTCAACAAATGTTGTGAATGAAATTAATCATGGTCATATAGGTACTTGCTAAACGGAGTAATTTCATAAAATGATATTATCTTACAGAAAACAGCAGTATTTTCTTATAAAATTAAAAATAGCTTCGAACGGAACTAAAATTCCATATACAGAGTGTATTATTTGACTGTCAAGTTAACTGTGGTATTTTATTGACAATTTTAAAATTTCTCCAAAATTATCAACTACATACATGTATTTATTATTCCTGACACACATAAAATTTGACAACAATCGTTACACTAGTTTCGGACAGACAGCAGACAGACAGACCGATAGACAGAAACAGGGACCGATTTTTTCGTACTCTAGGTCCTGAACCATTGAGACAATATAAAAATAGCCAATAGTCTAATGGAAACGAAAAACATAATCACTTCAGACAAACTCCATTAAAATTTAATATACAATATATAATTAACTATCTTTAAAAATTTTTGTAAAATCAAATGTGCGACTTTTGCAATATTTTGTAAATAAGTGTTACTGCAGTTGTGCATTAAGCTACAGACGTCGGCATGTATGTTACTTACACACGTATGCCGACATCGAACAATCCACTTTGATAAAGTGCTCTTACAATCAAACTAGGTGTGTTGAACCGACATACAAGACTTATAAGAATTCCGAAAGAGACACCCTGGGCATGTCTTACAATATTGCACTACAACTTAAATAAATTAGATGTTTAGATACCAATCAATAATATACATATACTTAAAAATCATTAAAGCGTTTAAAATATAGCAGAAATAATGTACAAAACCCGTAAACAGTTTTTGTTTACTCAAAGAATTTTTGAGCCGTAATTTTCTGACGTAACAGACAGCGAAAACTAGATCAAACATTAAAAAATCATCCAGTATACAACGTAACTTTTTTATACTACTTGTATGTAATCTCCAAACAATAATTGGTTCAGGGTATTGTATTTGGTAATTTATAACTAATTGTTATTAATTAATAACAAACAGACGGTGGCAGACGACACCACAGTTAGTCGTGTAGAAACAGGAAAACAGCTGATGGGGTGTAATAATCCGGGATTTAAACTACTCCCAAAGATCTCACTCGACCCAGAAATGTCCTTTTGTGAATTTTTGCCCTGTTGTCGAATTTTCATAGAAACATTAAGCCTTCTAATGTAAAAAAAAAAATACATATACATGTATACTTAAAATTGTAAAAAAAATGTTTGGACACATTATAACTTAACTGCTCAAATATCATTACCCCTCTTGTAAGAAACTATTTCAGAGCGTGTTTGCTTGCTTTTTTATGAAGTTTTTCAAATATCAGTTAATCATTAACAAAATCGTCAATCAAACGTCATCTGTTGCTATAGGGACACAACCTGCAAACGTTGAGATCTTAGAAAATAAAATCTTAAAAATTACATATTATTACGAAAGTATATTGGTATACCTATTGAACAAAATGTTCTGTACTTTTCAACCGATTATAAAAAAAAATATTGCAACTGAGTCAATTTGACGAATTGTTCAATTAATTTTTTTTTTCAACTTTACAGGTCAAACAACACACAATTTTACCAAATTGTGAATTAAATACCGAGTGACTATTAATTTTTATGTTGGGAATTCTGAATTATTGGCATCCGTACTCATGTCAATTTTGACATGAGCACGCTTAACAAATGTGTTGATTGGTTGAGACGATGGCAGCTGTCAAAAATGTCACTTTAATATCAGGTATGGCATCATAAAATTTTAATTAAATCACAAACATTATTAGTCACTCGCTATATGTTTATAATAGTAAGGATTTATATCATTTTATATGTACAAGGTGATAATAAATGATCTAATAAAGGGCCAATTTCAAGTTGAATTTACAATTTCGCAAGTCCTCGTTGCCATGGAAAATGCGATGACAGCAGTCGCGAGAACGAATCATATCGCGAATCGCAACAACTGTCATCGAAATTACCATAGCAACGGCACTTGCGATTTTGCAAATCCAACTTGAAATTACCCCTTAAATCTATAGGACCGTGAATTACACTGCACAAAAAAAATCATTTTTCGAAAAATACAGTTTTTTGGTAGCAGAAATTTAATATTGCCATTCTCCACCAATCTCTTGACTAGACGGTGGAGAGTAGGTTTCAATAATAAATTTATCTTCGTCTAGAGTCCACATTTTTCCGTATCCTTGGTGATTTAAAGAAATGAACGTTAAAATTTGATTCAAAATTTGACAACTAATTGACAGATCATTAAACTAAGTGGGACATTAATAAATGATGTAAATGATGTATTTGTAGATGTAAATCATTTACTAACACTCTATATGTATACAGTCTATACAGCTAGAGAGAGTGTTACAAAAATTTAAGGGTCCCCCCCCGACCTACAAAATTTTTCTATGGGCATCCAAGTACAGGGTGAGTCAGTTAGAAGGGCACACCTCGAATAACTTTTTTATTTATGATTTAACTTTTTTTCATTATTCAGATTTTGCTTTTTTAATTAAAAAAAAATTAAAACAATAGCTTCATAGTTGTACCATATTATACAGTGCATCTTTTTTAAAAGTGGCCTTAGGGAGTCCCATGTTAAATTTTATACCCCATGTTGACTTATGTTTGAGTAAAGATTCAGATTTGAAATTTTTACTGGATCTAATTTGGGTTATCTTTCGTCGATTTTATTAAAGGTCATGATTTGAATTAAAGATATTTCTTAAAAAAAAATAAAATATGTATTTGGATATTTTTGTCGGTAATATTCTAGGCAGCCATGTAAAAACAAACGTTTCTAAACAGACATTTATATACCTGAAGTTTTTAAAATTTGATTACTCGTTCGATTATTGGTTTTTGTGACCGAAATTCGTCAACATGCCGCAATACACAATTAAACCAAAAGTACAAATGGTCACTGATGGATACATTAAAGCCTTATCGACAACAGAGAAACTGCCCAAAATTTTGCTTCAACATTCCCACATCATTCCACACCCGTTAAGACCACATTTTGAAAATGTTAGTTATGGCATAGTTATAAACACAGGTTTTTCGATCGTGGACATTAAAAACGCAATTTCAGTGAAATTATCTTTTATTTTCTTCATTTATGTTGGAATTCCATCATTCTGTTTCTTTTCTAGAACTGCAATAATAGGTACTTATTTAATGATTAAATTAAAATTATGCTGTCAAAAATGACAAGTTAAAATGATAAGTCAAAGCTTTCTATGATGTTCCAAAATTTTTTAATCAAAATAATTTTTATTTTTTAAAGTACAAATTAACAAATTACTGCAAAAAGTTGTAGTGAAAATTAAAGTACAACCCTAAGGCTATTTTCTCCGCAACAATCATCTCCGGGTTTTCACCTTAACAAAAGTTAATATGGGGTCTAAAATTTAACATGGGAATCCCTATGGGCACTTTAAAAAAGATGCACTGTATATTACTAATATTAGTAAATTGTTCCAATTTTACTTAAAAAAAAAAAATTGCTGACCAACCTTATTCGCTAGTGCAACTTTGCGTAAAATGTGTTAAATGCTGAATTGGAGAAAAGCATAATAAATGAAATAATATGAATTTCAGAAATAGATGCTTCATTACTTATATAAAAACGTGTTTAGAAAACAAAGCGGAGAAAATGCTTTAAGAAAATATTATTTTACAAAAAAAATGAAACATAAAAAGTAATAAATATTCAACTTTGCAGAGTATTTTTTCTTAATAAAGTAAGTAAAATAAAAGTTCAGAGAAATTTAAAAAAATATGGGACGATGACAATTATTTCATATTAATGAAGTGATTCATACATAGAACTCATTCGTTTTTATTTATAAACTAAATTCCAGTAACATAGGTTAATAAATAAAAAGTTATTTGTGGAGTCCCCTTTTAGGTAACACACCCTGTATACCTCTAATTCATCCGACAAGTAGCTTCATAGTGACAGTGTTTTATCATATTTGGTAAAATAACCATATTTCACATATCTATTGTATTTTTCTTACATCTGTTCTACGGCATTAAAACAAAAAAATGTTAGGGAAGCATAAACTATACCTAACAATTTTTCAGCTTTCTGAAGGCGATGCATAAATAGTTCAAAATTATTTATTTAAAATAATCCATACACAGTTATATGCGGGGTTTCGACCATAAGAAGCATAGAGCGTTAATTTCAAGTCAAAAGTATTTAACAATATTGAGATTACTAGAGATTATCTGTTATGACAAGGAAACGATAAACCAACCAACGTTTTTGCGTCAAACAATGTTCGCGAATGTGGCTTTTCAGATTCCACAGGCACCCGTGTAGAAGTCAGTCAAAAGAGAGGAACTCAGAATTCAGACGGGTGAAGTGAGGCCGAATTTTTTGGTTTCTGTCGGTATACATCTGCTCCAGAACGAAACAGCATCAACTACCTAATAACGAAAGCCTGACCGACCTAGCCATGTTTCTCGCAAGAGTGGCTTTCCTCTCGGAGTCGCGTTCCGCATCTGCAGAAGAGCGAATTCCACGATCGCCTTTCTACACCGCAGGAGTTCGTAAACCCGCGTCCTGATGTGCGTACCGGAAGAATTCGTACGTTGTAGAAACTCCGTTCAATTCGTCCTAGAGTGCAATGCACGTGCGGCAGCGGCTCGCAGCGATCACCGCCACACCGACGAATCTCCCCTCGCCCCGCGACGCCGCCTCGCCCGCCCCCCGCCCCGGCCGGCCGCGGACGCGCTCCGGCACGTCGCCTATTTTGACGGGAAGGTCGATCACGTGACCTAACGAGTGTCTGCGAGCGGGGCGGGGGGCGGCGGGTCCGGCTAGACTTTCCACAGAGAGCATTGCGAGCGAGTCGTCTGCGCCATGGCCGGAGCCAGCGGTCGCGAGAGTTCCCGTTGATGTTAGTGGCGGTCGCCCTCAGCAGCGGTGGTTACGGTGACGTTCCGCGAGTTTAAACGGCCCTCTTGGCCCTTCGTGTCGCTTTCGGCGTGCAAATCCAGCGGAAAGGCAGCGACGCGACCCTGCGCATGTGCGGTCGCAACAGTCTGCAAAACAGGCGAGACGATTATTGCCGGTCACAGTCTCAGACAAGTTTAGGTGAACGTCTGCGTCGGTTAGTAGGAGAGACAGAGACGGAGAGGGAAGGCCAGGTTCGCGTTGGAATACCGCGATCGCGAGTTTCTTTCGATTGCGTAACGCCGGCCACAGCCACAGCCACAGCCGATGGGACGGGCGACTGTGGCGCTTGGATGACAGTGAGGTGCAAAAATGGTGGCAGTGTCTCGGTCCCCCCGATCCCGGTCGTGAGCAGCGCAGACATGATGGAGGTGACGCCGCACCTGAAGAACGTGCTGAAGAACTACCAGCACAGCGCCACCAAGAGCCTGCAGGGCCCCGGGTTGGCCTTGGCGCCGCCCAAGAGCGAGCCCTCGCCCGAGCCCAAGGAGGAGGAGTTCGTGCCCGCGCCCTTCCCGGTGCAGCAGCTGCCCATCCTCACCACCCCCGACACATCGTGCAGCGAGCGCACGGAGACGGCGCTCGAGGGCGAGACCATCTCGTGCTTCGTGGTGGGCGGCGAGAAACGGCTTTGCCTGCCCCAGGTGCTCAACTCGGTGCTGCGCGACTTTTCACTGCCGCAGATCAACCACGAGTGCGACCAGCTGCAGATCTACTGCTCGCGCTGCACCCCCGAGCAGCTCAACGTGCTCAAGAACGGGGGCATCCTCCCGAGCGCGGCGGCCAGCTCGGGGCTGATCACCAAGACGGACGCGGAGCGGTTGTGCAGCGCGCTGCTTTACGGCCAGGAGGTGGCCCCCATTCGGCCTCGGAAGGGGGCGGCGTCGTTCGCGGTCTACCACAAGTGCTTCGGCAAGTGCACGGGGGTGTGCTTCCCCGAGCTGTATACGTCAAAGAACGCGAAGTGCATCGAATGTACTGAGTGCAGGGGCGGATTCTCGCCCCAGCAGTTCGTATGTCACGTTCACAAACATTACTCGGAAAACAGGACGGTGCACTGGGGGTTCGACTCGGCGAACTGGAGGGTGTACTTGCGGGTGGCCAAGGACCAGCAGGACCACGACCAGTGCATCAAGTATATCGACGACATTAAGGAACAGTACGATGGAAAGATGCCCTTCCCGAACATCTACGCCGGCATCAAAAGAAAACAGGTGAGGAAGAACGGTTTCCCCATCGGCGAAAAATTTTGCTGTTTGGGTTATTTTCATTGTGACGGTGGGCAATGTTCTTTGATCTTGAGTCGTTGCATCGGCGCCCGCTTTCGTGATCATGCTATATTTTAAAATGATTTTTCATTGAACTCATTTTCTAAATGTCTTTGGAGCAATCCCTTTCGCTTCGCAGGGATAATGACCTCCAGGTCATGTCAAGAATAATAAAGCAACGACTCGAGAATCATTCATGGAAAAACGTATTAAAATTATGTCCCTTGACAGTATTATAACCTGGGTAAAGTTTCAATTTACAGATACTTATACATTCATATGTGAATGCTTATTAAATGACTTCGAGATTTTACGATTTATTTTATGATGGTGAAGATTAAAACTGTTTTAAGCAGCGATAGCTTTGTACGATTTGCAGAATTCATGAAATTTTCAATATTGCACGTCTTATCTAAACGAAAGTAGAGGTTTCTGCTCTAACTTTTTCTAATCTTGGCAACTAACGAAAACGATCGTCAAAAAAATAAAATGAACAAATTCGATAAAATTATAAAACAGATAAATATAGATCAAAATACTTACATGTTAAAGATAATGAACGTAGAACACAGACAATTGCCCAATTTTGCGACTGGGTGTGAATTTTCGTAATATAAGCAACAATTTTATTATATTTTCATTTGATAATTACTGGTAGCAAGTCGAAATTATCAAAGACAAATCTTATTCCTGTTTAACAGGTTACGGCCCTACTATTAGATCAACCGTATCTATGACTAAAATACAATTTGAGCCATTTATAAAGTATTAGTTATTAGTTTATTAGTCTAAAAATATGAACATTATTCAACCATAAGGTAGGTACATGATGTTGAACTTGTTTAGCCATGTACCATATTACAATTACCTCCTTAATGGAAAAAATCATACAGAGAGGATCGTGTTGTCCCTTTTGCAAAAAATGCAATATAAACGTCGGTTAATATGGAAATATCTGAAATACACAAACAGCAAGAAAGACTAAGTTCATACACTATTTTCCAATCAGTTATGTCCTAGATTAGTTATAACTAACTTAAGCTTTGAATACAGCATTGCTTGTGACATGGTAAATTGGTATACATACACTCGCTTGATTATCTTCTGGAATAACAGTTTTCGTAACTAAGGAAATATGTGAGGGCATTTTGTGCATATAAATTTACTTAATTGATTGAAATATCTCATGGTTTTGTTGTTGAAACTATGATTCTCGACCTAACATATCAAGACTGACAAGTAGAACCCGTGATATTACAGTTTCCTTTTATCAGTACAATAACGAGACAAGATTTCCTTCAGAACATTTGTTCAGTTGTTTGATGTTGTTCATTTTGTTAGAAGAAAATGTTTAAAAGGTTATAAACATATCTTTCAAGCAGCGCCTTTTGTGTACGTGTTATTGGTGTGTTCAATATCTGTCGTCTTCCATCTTTTTTTGTGTGTACATATACTTTCCCATATTTTTGTGTTGTATGTAAATCTGTATCTGTTCCGATAACAGTAATATTTCACTGGGGAAAGAAAAATTCCAAGTATGGAGTCCGAAACCCGTAATCTAACATGAAAACATCACATATCGACTCTTGCTAAGCGAATTATGGGGGTATTTGATTTGGTCAATAACAGTTTTATAAGTTTGGTTTTACCAATTTTAAACACAGATGGAGTAGAAGAGATCTAATTTTACCTTCACGCATTGGGAGAGTTTTATGATTTCATGGTGAAATTATTTATTTTGGACCACTACCTAAATTATTTACACCACAAAACTTGTCGGTTTTTGACTCTTCCAAATATTTTATTGAGGAAATTTGTAAAATCTTGGAAACGTGGGAATTGTTACTTAGATTTTCAACCGTCATTTTTAACTGAAATTGTACGCTTAGCCCACATGCTTTTCAGTTTTTTTTCTTCATTAAATTTATTTAACCAACATATCGTTTATATAAAATGACATTGTCAATACCGCAAAGTAAAAACTTATCGAAATATTTTTTGTACAGATTGAATGATCAATTGAAATACAATAAGATGTGTGAAATAATACACTACCATGTGTTGTTGTTGTTGTTGTTATTTGATAATGATTACATAATAATAATTTAATATTTTATATGATTGTTTCATTTCGACTTATGCATCAAAAATACATCGGAAGTGCTGTAGAATTTGAGTAATTTAGATCAATTAAGAAAAAATATTGTAAATATCTTTCGAACTGACATGTTTTTAATATAAAATAATGACTTATTATTTGTCAATATACAGTTTTTTTAATTCTCAATCAGGTACACATTATCATGTACCATGGATTTTGTTTTAATAATATACGTGTACCAAAAAAACAGCTAAAATTGAGCATTATTATTATTTATAAAAAAATATTGTTAACGTTAAATGTGATGATGGGACTTAATTTTTTTGATAATTACCCAATTGTCTAATATAAAATTTTCTGTCCATAGCTTGCGTCTCTGTAAATCTCAATTTTCACTTGTTTCTCATTTAAGGAAATGGTCAATTATAACACATCCTTATAGTTCCGTAACTGTGTCTCGTTAAAACGAACGGATCAGATATTCTGTGACATGAATGAACAATAAGTAAATCACTTGATTTCTATTCGCAGAAGGGAGAAATACGTGTGTACTTTCAGAGAATAAAGATAAACTATAAAGGAAGCATTTACTGAACTTTATTCGTATAGTCCATACTCCTAAGGTTAAAAAATAGATAAAATATCAAGCAAGCTGTGCTATGACAAACATGGTACCAAAAACGATGCACTTGCGGGCCTGTGTCCTTAAAATATGTATATATTTAGTCAAATTGCACTCTGTAGCAGAAATATTTTTATAGTCATTTTAAAATAAATGTTTCCATAAATAAATCTTACAGGATAAGATCTTTTTATATTTTACAAACCGTGTGCCGAAACCATAATACATCAACCATTTGTTCGTGAATCTTTTTCACTCGAGCCACCTGTAATCCGACGACCTTGGGGGTAGCAAACCCGTAACGATTGTAACGTGTAATTCATCAATTTGGAAGGTATACCCAGAGGAATTCCACCGTTGTGTTTCGCTAGCAACACGGGGACCTCGACGAATCCGCAGAAAAGGTCAAAAACCAAAACGTACACCATTTACAACGCCTAGATTTTTTACATTAATAATAGCACCGCGTCGATATTTGAATATCATAAATATCTTCGTCCCAGAATAATACTTTATTTATGCGAGTGGTACGCTTCTTGATTTTACGGCCGATAGTCGATGGTATCCTCCGGCGATTTTATTGCTGCCATATAAAACTTACGAAAGAAAAGATCCGGCCGGTCGTGCGTGAGCGAAGAGTTTTCGAGAGGAGATATTGTGTAAATATCGCAGGCGCCATATTTGCCCACAGCTGCAGACACCATCATCATCATGGGTGACCGCAGACATGACGACACATTAGCATGAGGATGTTGGGGCGAGCGTTCCATGTTAGACCGGTCGCATACGGTAGCTGAAAATCGTTTCTCGCACTTATGTGGTAACCTTCGTCAAGGCAGTTTTTATGGGTCACCCGAATTACGAACTCAGCAGGTTACGCTGTTACTTTTACACACTGTTGCTGGTGTACACAGAAATCGTACTTTTAGCATAGCGACGTGACGTTTCAAGGTTTACGTCGCCGTTCGCAACGTTGTTCAACCGAGTTGGACTAAAAATATAACGAATTTCAAATTTATGCAAAAATAAAAAAGCAGTGTGGACAAGCAAGGACGTTGAAGAGAAGTTTTGAGTGGATGGCGTATTGGGAATTGTTGCGGTTATGACTATGCTGTTGTTACTTGATAAACTTTCATAGTTTCTTATATTTAGCATAACTGTGTATACGTAAAATTAAGAATGTTTTAATTAGTAGTTTACTAGCAGTAAAAAATATTTCATTAGGCTACGGAATTAGTGTCGAAATACTACTGTTTTAATTTTTTACTATTCCGATTGTTAAAATTATAAGGTTTGTTTATTAAGTTCTTTGAATAAGTTTTGAAAGGGGATATTGTAACAGTACGATAAAAAATTTCAAATCAACGACAAAGTAGGTCAGATGCAATTTGCTAAATATGTGTATACAAGTTTTACAACTTTTAAAATAGCAGATTCGAAAATTCCCGACTTATTATTCAGGATGAAAGGTCATCATGTACGTTTGAGAGATAGTTGGCATTGATGGAAAGGTTCCGTTCGTATCCTAATATTTCATTTTTTAAAAAAGATATCGAGAATTTGAGATCACGGCGAATCCAATATCTACGAATTCACGGGAAAAACGAGTTGTCGGGGTTAGGGACAACAATGTAAATATACATATTCGACCCATTTTTTTTTTTAATGCAATGATGTAATCAAAAGACTTACAAGAGGGCTCAAATGATTGTTTTTTAAAACATTTTGTAAACTCGAACAACATTTGCAAATCAAAAAATTAGTATTCAAGCCGCATTTAATCACTGCGTCAGGCACTGATGACAAATTGAAAAATCTATATTATGTGCATATATTTTGATTACAAATTCATTTGTAAGCCAGTAATGGATGTTATGAAAAAGTTTGTTCATTTCGCTTTTGTTAAAAAGTAAAATTGATAGGATTTTATCTGTAGGACGTAGTACATACGTGAAGTTGGTTGCTTTGCGCGTGCACCTATTTCACACCATATCTATGCCACTAAAATTCCTCCGCATTTTTAGCACCGCAGTATTTCAAATTTAGTTAATTGAACAACCTTCTGTCGATTTCTACTTGGTGTATCCTTGCTATTTTTATCGATAGCGTTTCGGATTAAATCTCATTCGTTCCAAATAATTTTGAATTCATAAAACAGTGCTTTGTCAAACACTCGGCTTGTAGCCAATTAGGAAACAGTATCGTCAAATTTGTGGCAGAATG